GATCACTATTCCCTTCCTCTATTGCTTCTTGGTTCCATCTAGAAGTAACTCCCTTTCTTCCTCCTTGAGCCTCTATATGTCCCGCTCAAGTCTCTATCAAGCTTCCCTCTGTTTTACCTCTCCAGATTCTTAGGTGAATAGGGTTTCCCCAAACCCTTGCAGACACATACTGTTATATATATATAGACTCATGCAAAATCCTAATCCTAATCCCAGCCTACTCATACGTCGGCTACCCTAATTACATAAATTAAAACCCTAAACTTAAATTTATGCAAACACTGTATTAACAAATGACCAAACGGTTACATCCATTACAATTAAATAAATAATTAAATAATGACATTTAAAACAAATAAATAAAGGAAAACAAACAAATAAATCTAATTAACTAAATCATTCAAAACACATAAACAATTTCTAATTAACAATTAATTTAAATACATACAAATAATTAATTAAGCAAATACACATAAAACAAATTCACCATTAATTAATTAAGGAAACAAAACACATAAATCACAGAATTAAATAAAAATGCAATAAAAATCAAAATTAAATTTCCATTTTATCCTTTTGAAAACTAGGGGTATTACATCGAAACCCTCTTATCAAGAACATGGAGAACCTTTTTGAACTTTTCCATTCGGGTCATCAGCTAGTGGTTCATATTCTGCATAGCCTCCAAAACAGCATCGGTGCTGGATCTGTGTCTAGATTTTGAGGAATGAGAACTGGTGCTGGCAGTCCTAGTGCTAGTATCTCTGGCACTAGTGGCTTTGGCACTTGTGGCTCGTTGACTGGTGGTTTTGGTATTGACGGCCTTGACGTTGGTGGCTCCAACTGCAGACACCAAATGTAGATACTTGCTTCTCATCAATCATCCAATAGTCAAGAGGGGTCCTAGGAATATATCACTAGACAATGTGAATAACGTAGAAAGGTAGAAGGAGGGAGAGAAAACCAGTCTAGTTAGAGAATTGGAGCAATGGTAGGGAAGAAGCTGCCGTCAGTTCCTACCCTCATTTTTCATCACTTCCTCCTTTTTATAGCCCTAGGTCATTCAGGTGGTACATTGTTGGGCCTCCGTCCTAAGAACGGGTCAGGGTCATGCCTCTTTTGGTCATGTTGCCTTAATTCCTATATTTCTGGATCAACTGCCAAGTGTACCTTTCCTGTTGAATGATCCAAAAATGGCAGGCTGTAAAGGTAATTGTATTATTCCAGCTGTCTTTTGCTCTTATCCTTAAACTGGGCCTTACCTTAGTGGGCAAGACATTACTGATTTTCCATCCTCCATTCCAAAATCCCTTCTGCATCCCAAAGTCTTTTAAAGAGCTCTACCATAACTCTTCGTTGCTCGGATCGAGGTTCGAAGCCTGTCAATCGATGGTTCATGGCTATGTAAGATCGAGGTTCAAGGCCCGTCGATCAACAGATTTGACGAGGGATCGAGGTTCAAGGCCCGTCGATCGACAGATTGTGAAGGGGTTGGATCGAGGTTCAAGCCCATCGATCGACAGCTGTTGGATCGAGGTTTAACGCCCATCGATCGACAGATTGTGAAGAAGTCGGATCGAGGTTCAAGGCCCATTGATTGACAGCTGTTGGATTGAGGTTCAAGGCCTGTCGATCGACAGATTGTGAAGAAATCGGATTGAGGTTCAAGGCCCGTCAATCGACAGATGTCAGATCGAGATTGTGAAGAAATCGGATTGAGGTTCAAGGCCCGTCAATCGACAGATGTCAGATCGAGGTTCAAGGCCTGTCGATCGACAGATTGTGAAGGTTGGATCGAGGTTCAAGGCCCGTCGATCGACAGATTGTGAAGGTCAGATCGAGGTTCAAGGCCCGTCGATCGACAGATTGTGAAGGTCAGATCGAGGTTCAACGCCCGTCGATCGATATATTGTGAAATGGTTAGATCGAGGTTCAAGACCCGTCGATCGACAATTTGTGGCTGTATTGGATCAAGGTTCAAGGCCCGTTGATCGATGATTGTGAAAAGGTTAGATCGAAGTTCAAGGCCCGTCGATCGATTGTGAAAGGTCAACTTATGGTTCAAGGCCAAGGGCCCATCGACTGAATGTTAGGCTAAAGTTTGAGGCCCAGTGGTTGACTATCACTTGCCTTGCTGAGTTGGACTTTGTCAAAGTGTTGACTGTTTGACTTGGCCCTTGGTGACGTGGCTGAACCACGTCCACACCTTTTTTATTGAGTCATTGAGTAAATTTAAGTACATTAATCTCTTCTGAATGCTGCTACTATTATTTGAAGTTTGATTTGATTTTGGGTTAATCAATGTATTTTGTGTTTACTAATGTCTAAAATAATATGTTTAATTTGAAATTCTACAGTTCTACTTGCATGATGCTTTATACTTCTTGTATTGTATTGGCCTATCTAAAAAAAAAATTTGAAAATTATCTTTATAAAATTTTGAACACCTATGTGATAATTATTTAATTTATACCCTTGAAATGTGGGGGATGAATTGAGTTTGGATGATTTGTATTATTCATCTTGCTAAGAATATTTATGTGGCATCAAATTGAAACTTTATTTTCAATTTATTTGCTCATTTCAATGCAAATTGCAAATTTGAATTACTAGAGTAAGTGTGCAAATATATTTAATTTTACGTTAAATGATGAAATTTTTTATATATGAGTTAACAAATATATTGTTATTTGTTGTCCATGAAACATGCTAATAATTATTTTTGACAAGTTAGTGGCTATCAATACAAGTTGGAGATTGCATGCACTACAAAGATGAATTATTAAAATAAAAAGACAAATGTCTTTTTCTTCTAGGAGCGTAGTCCTAGAATTCTTTTGAGAAAGAAAATAATAGTGAGACTGAAAGTCTTATTTTAATAGGAGTGTAGTCCTAGACAAGTCGAGGGGGGTGGACCTAAACCCTAAGGGAGCCACCTTCGGAAGTAACTCGTCCTTTGTGATTGGAGATTTCATGAATTAGGTTCAACGGGTAGAAACAATCCGTATTGCGTGACATATTTATAACACTTTCTTATTAGGAGGTTTCTCATGAAGATCCACTCCTACCCATCCCTATGGCACCGGTGTTGTTTAGTGTGATGTTAGGAAGGGCATGGCCTTGAATGAGTCTGAGGCAAGCAAACTCTTGCAAGGTATTGGTCATATGTATTTTTGGAGGACTCACCTAAATGAGAGTAGTTGTGAGGCTGCGACTATGAGAATTGGGCTATTATCTAGTAACTCTCATGAGAATCAAGATACCAACGCATAGCCATTAATAGCGCTACACCGCTAACCAAGTCTTAAGTCAATACTATGTGTGTTACATGTTGAAGTCTGATTAAAGGGACCGAGTTCAAGACCTAGTCTCTTAGGTTCCTCATATGGAGATAGTAACACTAAGTGCAAGTTCAAGTCCGGAAGATTCTTGCACCTATTACATAATATTCAGTTGCCCTAATTATTTTATTTCTTACATACTTATATTTATATTTAAATCTCCATATTATTTTTTTAAAAGTTTTAAAAACTTGTGGGGGATTGTTAGGTTTTTTACAATAAAGTTTTTAAAACTTCTTTAATCCTAAAATGTTTGAATGGGTATGAAAAGTTAATGGTGAAAAGTCTTTTGAGAAAAGACATGTCCTTTCGTGAATAGGCATATAGTAGCCTATAAATAATAAGAGTATTCCAACAAATAAATGAGTTCTTACTTCTTTTGTTTCTTTTTCTAAAAACTCGTTCCTTCTTTCTTCAACCAAATACTATATTATATATATTCAATTATATACCTGAGTTTATGTGCAACGTGACACTATAAGAATTGGTGATCGTAACTCTGTGAACGTGCACATGGAGAACATTAGAGTTATATCTTGAAGCCTTTTATAGTCGTCACAACCTGCATGTAGGGATGGTATAAAGGTTTTAGGATAACGCAATATTGCGTGCCTCTCCATTACACAGGCCAAAAGTTTCTTTACTCTTCTCTTATTGATTTTATACATTTTATTGGCTTATTACTTTATTATATTGTTTTATTTATACTATCTATAATATACTTTGATTACATTGTGATATAAATATATATATGTAGCATTTTAATATGATTATGTTAATAGATTTAAAATTAAGAATGTATGAAAATAACTAAAATCCCCAACATGACAGAGATGTGATGTTGGTGATTTGGTAAGCTTGAAGTAAAAAAAAAAAAAATGAAAAAAAAAAACACAGAGCATATTCGGAGAGAAGTTTTGATTATGTAAAGAATGTGAACGGGTGCTGATGAGTGGGATAGGGGGAGAGAAAGCGCGCGTGGTAGAGAAGATGGAAGAATACAGAATTTTAGGTTAACAAATGACAAACATTATATTAAAAATGTTTTGAGTAAATTAGATAATTTTTTGTAATTTTATTTTAGGATAATAGAAAAGTGGATCACTAATAGAGGTTAGTGGTGAGAAAATATAAAAAATTTAAAATTGACGCATTTTATACTTTAATTTCATCACTTTAAATAGTGAAATTTCACTACTTAGTTGATAAAAATTAATTATTACGGTAGTGAAATAATAAAAGTAAATATTAATAGGGATAAGTTTATAAGGTTGAAAGTGTTACGTACTTTTTTTTTTTTTTCTTTTTTCAAAAAAGTGTTACGTACTAAAACAATTTGATTCAAACACACACGGAGAGAGTCACACACACAATCCAATGGTAACTGTCCTCGCATTCACAGTGTTGACACGGCAAAGATTTCAACAAGAGACTGTTTGGCTAGCTCTTATTGGGTCTTTCAGCCTAGTCATCACATTATTGTCGTCATAAAGTCGGCTACTTAACCTGTTCTTATCGGTCCACTGGCACTCCGTTGAAAAGCAGTAAATTTTCGATAGATTTGAGAACTGGACATAGTCTCTAGTAATTCCCCTACAAGACGAAGGGTATTTCCGACCTTTCACTTCCTACACATTTCCTCATTTGCACATATTTTCGCATCCCTCTTTATATAGAGATTTCTGAGTATTTCACTCTCGGATCCGCCGTCCGACCCCTTCACGGAAAAGACTCCTCCCTCGGTACTCTTCTCTCCCACTCCTCCTATACACAATATATATATATCTATTTGTAGATACACATATATGTATATATATCAATCACAATTCTAATCCTTTATTGGTTTTGTTGTTGTTCAGTTTTGCTAATTTAAATCCAAATATTGATTCGATCGATTTGGTTTGGTTTTCTCTCTCCTCCGGCTCCGATCGTTGTCAAGGTAGAGGCTTTTTGCGCTGTTTATCAAGGTATTGCTTTCAGATCTCTCGCTTTATATCTATATATATGTTTTTATTTTTATTTTTTATGTATACATATGTGTGTGTGAATGCATGTATCTCTGTATGCTGAATTTAGCTATGTTCATCAAGGTATCATTAACAGATCTCTCGCTTTGTATGTATTTGTGTATGTATACATCAATGCATGTATCCGTGTATACTGAATTCAGCTCCTTTCTTCGTATTCTCTGTTTCGTTTGTGCTGTAATGTTAATGCTGGATGAGACTTTTTTGCAATTGCAGATCATCTGTTTTTACGCATCTATGTGTTTTTGCATCTATGTTTTGATTTTTATTGATAGTTTAAAGCGAAGCAGTTCGGTGTGTGTTTGTGCGTGTATGCTCTGATCAAGTTTAACGGTTTTTAAATAGAAGGATTTGTAAGATATATTCTTTTTCAAAGTGCTGATTTTTTTTTTTTTTTTTGTACTGTTCTATTTTATGGATCTGAAGATTCTATATGAGCAAGTCCTTTTTAAAGATCAATGATTTTGGTTTAATGCGTTTCGATGGTTTCGACGCGTGGTGGTTGTTTCCTTAGCAAAAAGGTTTCTACTTTATGTTATTAATTGCGATTGGTGTGCGTTCGATGAGTTTTATGAAGATAAAGTTCATCATTGAATGGTGTGTAGGGATGCTAATTGGAGAAGATGAGCAACAATGGTCTAAATAAGACCACTAAAAAGCCTTAAATGGGCAATAAAATGAACACGTGTCCGGACCTCCTTTTCCACTAATGTATTAATTTATGCGAATGTGTATATGAATTGCAGCCAGCTGGAACAATTTTTCGAGTCGAGGTGGAGGGTCTTTTATGTGAATTTTTTTTCTTGCAGGTTCTTTAGCTGTTGAGATGGCATCAGCAGCTGGAGCCACAGGATGGTTGAGAGGAAAAGTCAAAGCTGTTCCTTCAGGTGATGCTTTGTTAATAATGGCGAGCACCAAGGCTGAACTTCCCCCTGAGAAGACCATCACTCTGTCATCCCTTGTTGCTCCCAGACTGGTAAATTCTATATATGGAATTACTTATGCCGTGTTGTTCTAATCTCCAGTTTTAATATTTGTTTCATAAGGGATGTTTCTGAATTTGGGACTTGTTCATGAAAGTTTTATTTCTTAATTAGTTCCATATCTGCAGCAGCCTAGTTAAATTTTTAGCAAGTTACAGAAAAGCAGCTTGTTTAGGTGGTTTGTTATAATTGTTCCAATAAAAAGGGAAAAATTCTCACGTGAGTTGGTATCTGAATCAGTTGCATTAGCTAATAAACTGTTCCTTGAGCCATTTTGTGGAATTACCCGTTTTAGTGTATTCGTTACCCAAAGCCGTTACATTTTGCCGTTCTCTAGCATTTTGTTTATGTTTAGATTCCAATCTTACAATATTTTTTGGCTTCACAACGGCTCAATCTCAACTTCCTAGTTTATTTAGATTAAGAATCAGATGGTTTGAACGTTATTGGAATCAGGGTGATTGCATGATATGAACATCAATTTAAAGTTCAAGTGAGTTTGGTCATTCCAAAAAGAGTTCATGCGAATAAATGAATCGATCTGTTGTTTGAGAAAAGTTATCAATCTGCGTAACAGAGGAAAGTTCCTACACTGAATTGTGCTAATTGTTTATATGAATTGTGAGCAATTTTGTTTTTTGATCTGAGCTGCAAGAATTATTTTGAGTTTTGATTGACGAAATCAATTGCATTGCATGATTGCTAAGTTACTTGTGGCTGATACTGGAGTTGTCCTTTATGTCTTAATATTCTCTCCTCCTCCCCCTTTCCATTTGTAGGCTCGCAGAGGTGGTGTCGATGAGCCATTTGCATGGGAAAGCAGAGAGTACTTACGGAAACTTTGCATAGGAAAGGTGGTCATTCTTGAATAATTCAGCTGTCATTGCAATCTATCATTCCTCTCAATTATATATATATATATATAATATATTTTTTTTTTTCTTCAAAAAGAAAAGAAAAAAGTATGATATACAATTATTACATCTCACTCTCCTTTTTTTGTCCCGTCTTAATAGGAGGTAACTTTCAGAGTGGATTACACTGTTCCTAGCATAGGTCGAGAATTCGGCTCAGTTTTCCTTGGTGACGAGAATGTTGCAATAATGGTTGTTGCTGAAGGCTGGGCAAAGGTTACATCCCTTTGTTTCTAAGTTTAAATTTTTTAATATTGGCTTTGGTTTCTATATATGGGCATATACTGAATCTGATGGCTGCAGGTTAGGGAGCAGGGTCAACAGAAAGGAGAACTTAGTCCTTTCTTGGCAGAACTACTACGTAAAGAAGAGCTGGCCAAGCAAAAAGGTCTAGGACGTTGGAGCAGGGTAAAATTTTGCTCTTGCTCTTTATCCATTGTTTATTCATAATGGTAATTTGGCAGACAATCAGTATATATACTTATTTTTATGCCTAAGACACGGATGTTGATAACCTTTTCTGAAAGAAGAGGGTTACATTAACAGGAGCAAGAGTTCCTGCTGCTGGAGCAGTCCTCTCATATATTGAAAATTTAGGTGGCATTTGGCAGTCCTCTAATATATTGAGAATTCAGGGGGCATTTGTCTCTTTGTTCCCACAGGCCAAAAGCATTGTTGGGCCTTGTGAGATATTTTGATTGCTGTGATTGATGTTGTGGATGAGTGGCCTCCATAAGTTGGCTCTAGGTGTTGATTTATTTTTCCTTACTAAAACTACTAATATACACTTTACGTCATCTGTAGTAGACTAGTAGGCGCTTAGGAAACCATATATATATCGAGAGAAGTAATAGAGATTTTTTGTCTTGTTTGATAAGTAATAAAGTAAGAGAGTTAAATATAGACGTAACCGATTAAGAAGTTATTCCCTTTTACCAAACCAAAAACAACACATCTTGCAACTTGCACATTAGTTTTTTCTCAAGAGGTCCTGTGACTCCTGTCCATATATGTATATATATTTGTAAGGGTCCTATCACCAATAAATAAGAGTTCAGATGTTAATATTGTTTTTTTAATGAGTGCTTTTTGTAGAGGTAAGAAAAATTCTAAAGGTATAGTTTCTAGTATTATCAACAATTTGGTTGATTGGTGGCTTGGATTATCACTTACATGATAAATCAACTTCAGGTAAAAGGAAAACCACAAAACTTGGTATTTAATGAAGTTTCTAATTGCTTTAGTTGTACCTTTTTTTCTTTCTTTTTGTATGTGTGTGCGCGCGTGTAAGAAAGAGGGAGAGAGAGAAATAGAGAGAGCATATCATTAAGAGCTGTAATAACTGAAATTTACGAATTTTTAATTAAGAGGTGAACTAAAATATAATTTATTTAACTAATACTCTAGGCTAGTGGTATCTCCTGTACCTTCTTAAGTGGAAGGTTGAGGGATTCAGGTGCAATTAGGGACAAAAGTGGGTGTGAGAGTTGCTTTCCAAGGTAGAAAAATCATTTCTTAAAGTAAGAAATCAAATAAAGTCCCAATGGAAGCAGTCCCATTAATTCTTACTGGATAAGTAAAATTATATACTGTGAAGTGTTTCTCTCTCAAATTAAATTTCACTGTGTACAGTTTGTTTTTTATGCGGGAAAGAAATGCAAAATAAGGGAAGAAAGTAAAAAGGGAAAAAAACTAAAAACAAAATAGAGGAGAAGAATGAAATAACATAGAGTTCAGTGCAAGAATAGCCAGTCGTCGTTTCTTTTGGTTTTGCAGCAATCCAACAGTATCAGAATTAGTCCACAAATGACCAAAATAACTAAAACTGAACTGAAGAAACACTTGTGAAGGACAATTTGTTTTAGTTTCAGAATGAAAAAGAAAATGCTTGACAATATGATGTCTTCTTTTGTCTTGCAATATCGGCCATTTAACATAAACCAAAAATAGAATATACTGTATCAGTATGATATATCTAGAAGATAATCTTTTTTACTCTTGTGAAAATATTTTTGGAGATCAATGAAGCAAAATGGATTTTAACCTTAATTTCTGTTTCATTTTTCTTCAAGGATTGAAAAAAGTATTTAAGAATGGAACAAATTAAAAACCCTTTTAGTTGAAATTTAAAAGTATTTTAGGATTGAAAAAAGTATTTAAGAATGGACAAAGTGTTTTAGTATTTAAAAAAGTATCTTGCTGTTATGGTTTCTGTTGTTGTCTATTTATTTTAATTTAAGTTGTTATATTTTTGTACTGGCTAGATGGGGAAACAAGATGAAGTTTCATACTTTAAGAACTCTATTATGCTAGGTGTTTACCCTTAAATAAGAAGCCCCAAGTTACTAACAGAAATTGATAATGGAAGAATTGATGTTAGTAGCAAGAACCCTTTTAGTTGTTGGTGAGTAGGGTTCTGTAACTTGGTTTATATTATATTTCGTATGGAACTGGAAAGCAAGAGATTTGGAAAGAAGGAAAGGTTTGCTGGAGATAGAAAGACTTCTTTTTCTTTTAGAATATCTTAAAACTTTTTTACAAGTGGCATTGGTGCTTTACGAAGGAAAGTGAGAGGTTGCAGGGTATGAAAGATACATATTACTGCTTACGTTATGAGTAACTTTTTCTTAAATGAGATGAGGAAGCAGCTTTATAATTTCTTAAATTTTGTCTGTTCCATTTGGCGAATGACTATTTTAATTTATTTTATTTTCTTCTCTCTTTTTTCTTTTTATTTTTTTATTTTTACCTTGAATGAAGCTCTGTCGGTATGCTTCCCTCCAAACTACTAGCATACATCATAATTTTTGTCCTTTCTGTAATTATAAAATACTTCTGTCATTTGTCCGCTTTATGCATCATATATGAAGTTGAATGGCTCAATGGCATCACCTGTTTGGAAGAGATAAAATGACAAGATATATTTTTATAAAAAAATAAAGAAGTAACCTGCCCGATTCCGGTGTTATGCCTTGGCATATATTGGGTGCACACTTGTGAGCTAGTTTCTTGTGCAGGAAGCTTTGTTTGGGTTGGCAATGGGGAGTGAGTCGTCGTCTATATGTAGCTTAAAATACACTGAATAAACATTAACTATACTGTAATTTGGATTTCACTTTGACTTCTCATCTTGTACATATCATTTACCTTGTTGTTCCTATTATTGGCGTTACTAAAATCAGTTGGAATTGAAATGTACATTGAATAATAACATCCAACTCTCTCTCTCTCTCTCTCTCTCTCTTGAACCGGTGGTTGCAGACACCAGGTGCTTCTGAGGCATCCATCAGGAAGTTACCGCCCTCTGCTGTTGGGGATTCTAGCAACTTGGATGCAATGGGCCTCTTAGCTTCAAACAAGGGTACGCCCATGGAAGCTATTGTGGAGCAGGTTCGTGATGGAAGCACACTTCGTGTCTATTTGCTTCCACAATTTCAATTTGTCCAAGTTTTTGTGGCCGGAATCCAGGTACAGAATCGAAACTTAATCTGCCTTCTTTTACTAAAAGGTGTAAACAGGTTGTAATTTATGCATTACTAGTTTCTAGAACATGCTTGGCTACCAAATATTCATCATTCTTTCATGTTTGAACTAGGCACCTTCAATGGGAAGAAGGGGTGCGACGGATATTGTTGTTGAAACTGATTTGCCACCTGATGAACCAAATGGAGAAGCTTCCACTGAACCTAGGGCCCCCTTAACATCAGCACAGAGACTTGCAGCCTCGTCGCCAACCTCAATAGAAGTCTCCCCAGATCCATTTGGAAGGGAGGCCAAACATTTTACTGAGATTCGTGTATTGAATAGAGATGTGAGTGAACGTCTGCTACCTATTGCATTGTGATTTCATTGTATTTCCAGTGATCTTAGCTTATAATCTACCTTACAGGTCCGTATTGTCCTGGAGGGTGTTGACAAATTCAGCAATTTGATTGGTTCAGTATATTATCCTGATGGTGAATCAGCAAAAGACTTGGCTTTGGAGCTCATTGAAAATGTAAGCCATAAATTTGATAGTGGTGGTATCTTGAATATAGAACATTTCTTGAAGTGAACTAATTTTCAATTTAAATAATGTGATGAATTATTGCATTTTGTGTTGATCAATCTTTCTACTATGTGTTGCTATGCATTCAGCCTTTTTTGTTCTCTACTGCATAACCATTTAAAGATTCTTAGGGCTTTTGGCTTATGACCTTTACCATAAAGAATTAAAGCAGTTGATGCTAATGCTTGTTTTAGACAACTTGACTGAGGAAAAAAAAACTTGACTGAGGAAATATTCAAAGAACATCTATTATGTTCTCATGATCTGAACATATCTTTATATTCATTTTCTGTTGTCGTAGTTTCTTTGGTTTGTCTGCAGTGGCACAGAGGTTCTTTGAACATTATTAAACACTCAATTGAACTAGGCAAAGCGTCAATCCTAATTACCTGTTGTGGCTCCTTTTTTCTGTTTGTTTGTTTGTTTGTTTTGTTTTTTTTTGTTTTTGTTTTTTTTTTTTTCCCTTTTCTTTTTCTGATAGCTTCAACCATCCTTGTTCTTGGCCTCATCTAGTCTCTTTGGCACTTTTGAACTACCTTTCTTTTGTCCCCTTCACTTGAGAAATTTAATGTTGGCATATAATGTGAATTGGAAACTGTTATCCTTCTTTTTCAGCCAACTCCTGGCGAAAGTTCTTTACCTACAATATTACCCTATAGATGTCTGGAGGGATTGTGCAAAGATACTTAGAACTTTGAATTTGATACCTTATTTCTGTTTTTGAATGTTCTGTTGATACTTTGATTTAATTAGTTGCTAGAGACTGCAGGAAGTTCTGAAGATGATATGTGGTATGGTACTATGATTGGTCAACTCCTGCTGAGATCTGCTCTTTGTAGGTTGTGTTTTTCATAAATGAGTCCTTATTATTTAATGGTATAGTTTAAAAAGTTAGAATTGCTTGGTGTTTATACATTTTTCTTTTTAATTGTTTGACTTTGATTATTTGTTTCATCTGTGTTTAATTCAATCTTTTCCCTCAAAATTTCTGATATTTCCAGGGAAAATTTATAGGAAATGTTTGGATGTTTTTGAATGGCCCCATTTCATTTTACAGAGCCATTTCAAGTTTGAAAATTTGTTATTCACTTATCCTCAATGGAGCCATAGGATATATGGCAGCCATCTATTAAATGGCGGTAAATATTCTCAATGTTTTGCATGAATGTAAGCTGCCAATGATTACATACCATAACATCTGTCCAAACCTTGACCTCATTTAGATGTTTGCCAGTGTGATGGTCGAACATCCTTGGCTGCAGCATGCAGCTGCTTATGGGCCTATTTTTCCATGTTTGAATACTTTTGCGCCTTTAATTAATCCAAATAGAATTTTTATATTTAAGTCACTTTCCTTCACCTGAGAATACTAGCTACCTGAATGCAATTTTCTCTCCATGACTAGTTTGCTCAGAATTTCCATTCTCATAGCATATTTACAATTCCCTTTTTTTTCTTTCTTTTGATGCAGGGTTTAGCTAAATATGTTGAATGGAGTGCAAGCTTGATGGAAGACGATGCCAAGCGCCGGTTGAAGTCTGCGGAACTTGAAGCAAAGAAGACCAAGTTGAGGTTTTGGACAAACTATGTACCCCCAGCTACAAACTCAAAGGCAATTCATGACCAGAATTTCACAGGGAAGGTTAGTTTCAGGTCCATGCTTATTTTAGTTTTACAGCTCGTGTTTTGAATTTACTATTGTTCAATATTAACTAAATTTGGCTTTTCTCCAGGTGGTTGAGGTAGTAAGTGGGGATTGCGTTGTTGTAGCTGATGATTCTGTCCCATTTGGCAGTCCATTAGCAGAGCGACGAGTCAATCTCTCAAGTATCAGGTGTCCCAAAATGGGAAATCCTCGTAGAGATGAAAAACCTGCTCCTTATGCCCGTGAAGCAAAGGAACTTTTACGAACGCGACTAATTGGTCGTCAAGTATGGATACTCTTTTTATGTGCATCATATTTGACATACAAGTACTTTTGATGTGAATGTGCATTTGTTTTTTCCTTTTTCAGGTGAATGTTTCAATGGAATATTCCAGGAAGGTCACCATGGCAGATGGATCCGTGGCTCCAGGTGGCCCTGCAGATTCAAGGGTCATGGATTTTGGATCAGTTTTCTTGCTTTCTTCAGGCAAGGGCGAGGGTGATGATGCCCCATCACCTGCTCTTGCTACTGCAGGCAGCCAGCCGGCTGGGGTAAATATTGCTGAGCTGTTGATTGCCCGTGGCTACGGCACTGTCATTAGGCACCGAGATTTTGAGGAAAGATCAAACTACTATGATGCTCTTCTTTCTGCAGAGTCACGTGCTATTGCTGGGAAGAAGGGGATTCATTCTTCCAAGGAGTCTCCAGTAATGCACGTAACAGACCTGACCACGGTTAGAAACCTAACTTTAGAGGATCATTTCCTTGCTACAATGACCAGTTGGAAAATTCATTAATTTTGTTGAAATGTCACTTCAGGCTTCAGCCAAGAAAGCCAAAGATTTCTTGCCATTTCTACAAAGGAATAGGAGGATGCCTGCCGTTGTGGAATATGTCCTTAGTGGCCATCGGTTTAAACTGTTAATTCCTAAGGAAACATGCAGCATTGCTTTCTCGTTATCTGGTGTTAGATGCCCTAGTCGCGATGAGCCATTTTCTGATGAAGCAATTGCACTAATGAGACGAAAGATAATGCAGAGGGATGTTGAGGTACAGCTTTTCTTTCAATTTGGTATTCATCAAGTTTCTGTTTTATGATTTGTTGTTAAATTTGATTTATTCTTTTGTTCTCAGATTGAAGTGGAAACTGTTGATAGAAATGGAACATTTTTGGGATCTTTATGGGAGTCAAAAACCAATATGGGGGTGACACTGTTGGAAGCTGGCTTGGCGAGGCTTCAAACTGCCTTTGGCACTGACAGGATCCCGGAAGCTCACCTTCTTGTGCAGGCTGAACGGTCTGCCAAAGGGAAGAAGCTAAAAGTGAGAGGCAGAATGTATATCATATTTTACAAATTTACAATTGCTCTTCATCTTTTTAGTGATGCTGGTGAATTTTTTGTTGCAGATATGGGAGAACTTTGTTGAAGGAGAGGAAGTTCCTAATGGTGCAGCAGCTTCTGAAAGAAAACAAAAAGAAGAGCTGAAGGTACCGTTGTGTTATGCTAATTGTGTTATGCCATACCCTGCTCAATGTGCTATAATAATCAATGATTTATCTTAATGATATATACTTTCAGGTAACGGTTACTGAAGTCCTAGGTGGTGGCAAGTTTTATGTCCAGATAGTTGCAGATCAGAAAGTGGCCTCTATTCAGCAGCATCTTGCATCTTTAAAGTTACAAGAAGCTCCTGTCATTGGTGCCTTCAGTCCTAAGAAGGGTGACATTGTCCTTGCTCAGTTCAGTGCTGATAATTCTTGGAACCGAGCAATGGTAAGAGTGAAAATCCAATACCTCTGTTTATTTTTCAGTTGGAAATTCATAGTTTCTCTACCCAGTCAGATTGTTTCTTCCCAAGTGGGAGCTGTCAATTCAGTGCATCGGAAGTGTGATGAGAAGTGTATAATTGGCTAAGGAAGCACAACTATATGGTAGTTTATTATTAAGAATATTGAGAGATGCTGTGCATGCATGTCTGTGTGAGTATATACACTGACAGAAGTATATATGAGATGTATACATATCCGTGAATAATTTTTTTGGAATGCTCATGTCGCTGAGTCCACTGTTGGTTGATATATGAACTCAAGCTTATCATGCATGCAAAATGTGTGCTTACTTTGACCTCAGTGTCTTTCTAGTATTTTAATATATTTGAGGTCTAACTATGCCTTTTCTTTTAATGGAGGATTCTGGAGGATTTGAATTAAATTTATGCATACACCATATACCAAACGATGTTCTATTTATTGATTTTTTATTTTTTTTTCCTTCTCTGTCTCTCCCTCTTTTTGGGTATGCTTTGTCATTCAAATATGTCATTTTTATGCTGTACCTTACTTATTCCTTTCTCATTGAACATGTCAAGATTGTTAATGGACCAAGAGGTGCTGTTGAATCTCCAAAGGACAAATTTGAAGTGTTCTATATAGACTATGGGAACCAAGAAATTGTTCCTTATAGCCAGATAAGACCAATTGATCCATCGGTATCCTCTACACCTGGCCTTGCTCATCTTTGCAGCCTTGCATACATAAAGGTTCCAAACTTGGAGGAGGATTATGGGCAAGAAGCTGCAGTGCGTCTGAGTGAGCTCACTTTAAATGGTCCTGCAGAATTCAAGGCTGTGATTGAGGAAAGGGATACTTCAGGAGGAAAAGCGAAAGGACAGGGAACTGGGACTGTCCTTGTGGTAACTTTGATTGATCCTGAATCTGATTCCAGTGTCAATGCCGCAATGCTGAAGGTTCGAATAATATCCTGCTATTAGCTTTTATTTGTTTGTTTTTCCTTTCTATTTTATTTTGCACCATTGCTTACCATGTCCGCTTTTGGGATTAGATAGTGAGAAAAGATAAAATTGCATATGGTGTGGTTTCTTTGAAGTTATGGTTTCATGCAGAGCCCGATACCAAGGGTGAATTTTTATTTTTGTATTTCCTATTGAGGGTGCTGCAGGATGCTTCCTCTTTTTAATAAACCGAACCAAGTTCAGTTAGGCCATGGCTCATTTCTTATATTCCAATCCAATTTAATATCAGAAAAATAAATGGAGTCGGTACTTGATCATTTCGTTGTGATAAAGACATGAAAATCAGAAAAGTGCATCTAGTTGGTGCAGGTATTCTTTCTAAAAGGTCTCCTTCGGCTCTTTCCACTTTCCATAGTTACCAAAATGTGGCATTTCTCACTGATCGAATTATGTAACATGTTCTCTTTTCGATTTTTCCCTTATTTTTTGGTTTAGCCAGTCAACTTTTGAAACTTCACTTTTGGCACTGAACACACTTTTTATGGTTGACCGTGCATAACACACTCTCAATTGTAATTCTCGAGTTTGTTGAATCCAATGATTGAATCGACTAATCCAGATTCTGGATGCAAATGTGACTTCCCTTGCCGTTGACAAAATCTGAAAATAGATACACGCTTTCTTTTTCTTTTTACTTCTGTTGTCTGCATTCATCTAGCTTAGTCAAAATCAGATTACTTGGCACTGTAGCAACCTTTTTGTACTAGTGCTTTTTGTGAGCTTAAATGTTACCTAATTAAAAAGTTGTTAACCCTGTAGGATGGAGTTGCTAGGTTGGAGAAAAGGAAGAAATGGGAGCCAAAGGATAGGCAACAAGCCATGGATGAGCTGGAGAAGTACCAGTCGGAAGCACGAGACAAGAGACTTGCGATGTGGGAATACGGAGATATCCAGTCTGATGACGAGGAGACAGGTCCACCTGTTAGAAAAACTGGCGGGAAAAAGTGAACACAAACTCCGGTGACATGAGTTGGGTTTAGATGAACCAACTCTTGCTTTAGGAAGAGTTAAAAGTTTATAGGCGCATCAATTGCGGCTTGAGAAATATAACAAAAACATTTTGCAGGTTGAGTTTTTTTTGTTATTTTTTTTTTCAATTTATGTTTTGTTCTGTACTTAAAAAAAAAAAAAAAAAAAAAAGTTAGTTAATTTTCTTTATTTGTTTATTTATACAAACTCTTAATAAGGCGAGTTCCTCCATGTCTGTAAGCCTTTGGGAATAGCAGTGACAATTTTCTTTTTTCTTGGTTAAAAAAAGCTATGAGGTTTTCATGTACTGCTTTGTGTTAAATGTGCTTCCTTTTTGTCGTCCTTGCTGGTGGAGGTTTTTAGTAAACTGGGTCCTTTGTGTTGTACTACTTAATTAGGGTTCGGTTTATGAAGGTTATATTTTTTTATCAAGTTAAAAGGTGTTCTATTATGGGGTAATTTTCCTTTTGAGTGAATCCAAGTAGGAAAGTTACTCTGATTCTGGTGGTGTTAGGGTTACAAATAGCGTTTTACTATAAATCATATTAAAATAATAGAGATGATCAATACCCAGTATGTAATACTAAAACATAGATTCATATTACTCCTCTAAGAGTCCCATCTTTCTGCTAGACCAATATATTCCCGAATGGCAAGACGAACTACATTCATTAAGAAAAAAAATAAAAATAAAAATCTAGGAAAAAATCTAGTGCGATTTATTTTTGTGAATTAAATTGTGTTCAATTGAACTAGCCACATTTAAGACTTGTAGATCAACATATTACGTTTACTTTTTATTCGAATCCAACTGAAACAGGGTTTATTTTTTAACTCGACTAAATTCATCTTTGTGATCAAGTCACCCTCATTTATCGACTCCACTGCACATTCTCCAAAACTGCCTCTGCATCGAGTGTACAATTTGTTTTAGGGATACAATAATGTGACATATAAGTGTACAATGTGTTTGACTTTGCTTCATATTAATGAAAAATTGCACCTTAATGAAACCCTTTAGTTGCTTTTCTTAACATTGAACACATTCATCCAATCAAACCAGCAAAAAATGTCTGAAATTGCATTGGTAATCTATCTGATGGCATTGGTTATCTCAAAGGAGGAGGTATGCTCAAGTATATAAATGTAAATAAACCAACAGTGCAGAGTAGAGATGGAGCAAAGATCAATCAGTGGCTAAGAAATATTGTAACTTTATTTATTTTCGAATTTTGAGCTTAAATTCGATAATGTATGAAATATATTACAAGTGTCAAATGTACATGTTTCTGTGTGTGTTCACTAAAAAATTCACGTAGTCAACGACATGGGGCGTGGATGCCAACAATAAGCACCACCAGGCTCACCAAACACTTCTTAGCAGCTTAAAAATGGCGGAAGGTTGATGTGCATATACACAATATGATCTGCAAAAATACAAGCATATCGAAGGGTAAGGAGACGGCAAACCAAAACAAAAGAGAAGAGGATGTCACAAAATCGGACGCAATTGTAAACCACTGAAGAATTGTTAATAAAGTAAATGTTACTTTTTAACTTTCAAGTCAAATTCTTATACTTACAAGCATTTTCACAGAACAAATCTCCTACAATAAGACATGCTTCTCAACCATGTTGACAATTGAAACGAATAAATTCTAATCATGCTGCATGCCTCGGCATGTATATCAAGGCTACTTTTCTTTCAGGGAAATCGTATGGAGAAGGTCATTGGTGTGGCTGTAATGTCTCTTAGAAGGTTGGTTTTAGAAAAAACCCTTAGTTCAACCTTAAAATTTAAATGCGAAGACATTCGTCATACCTCAAGATAAATCAAAAGCTAATTTCTTTGTCATGGCCCAATGAAGCAACAGTGAGGAATATGTTTTTTAATCACCACCCATTTCATCTATAAAACTCTTCATCTGATGCGAGCAAAGTCAGCAAAAGGCTCTGACTTTGTTTTCAATGCAGACTTGGCCAACTCAGGAGTCCCAAACACATTCCATATTCTTAATGTCTCATCTGATGCAGCAGATGCAACCACATGCCCATCTGGACTCTGTAATATATCCAAGAAGAGGGGTGAGGGGAAAAATAGAAATCCAATTATTCAATAAAACAATAACAGAACTATATAATCTCTTTCCAATTCAAAGAATGCAAATTAAACAAATTTATTTATAAATAACCCATGAATGACAGATACCTGAGCCATGTGGAGAACCCTTGACATATGACCATAAAGCTCTGTAATCTTCACCATAGAAGGGTACTTCCAAAGGGTGAGTTGGTTGTCACTGAGGCCATGAGAACTCAAAAGCTCACGCTCATGTTTGTTCCAGAGCAAGCAACAGACCTGTGACCCTGTATTCACGGAGTTCAACCGTACTCCAGTGTTGGTTTTCCAAAACTTTATGCACTCATCTCCAGTACCACCACCAGAGGCAAGCAGATTACTCTGGAAAGGACACCAAGAGAGAGCTTTGACAGCAGCTGTGTGGTCTTCCAGGCGGTGAAGCCATTGATTGGAAGAATTTCTAGAGGCCATTGAGTTGTCCCATATGTGGACCAAGTTGTCTTTTCCTCCACTTGCTAGTTGCTGGCCTGATGCAGACCATGTCAGTCCACAAACCTCTTGACTGTGTCCTCTATATGTACCAACAATGGGTGATCTTATTCTTAAATCGTTGTTTATGATCAAACTATCCTGTCCCCCTGTTGTCAGGATGTTATTGTTCCAATCAAGTGAACCAACCCAAAACGTGTGTCCATCTCGCAAAGTCCTCATCTGTTCAGAAAAACCAAACAAATTAGTTGTAGAAAAGTGCCATCTTAAAATACATGTATTTCACTGCTCTCTAAAATAAATTACAGAACTTGTAGGATATTGGTTTCTAGAATGATTAAACATCCTATATTTATTTGATGCTTTAGATCAATATAATAATATAATGCCTTGTTAAACCTTGCAGTTTACTTACTACCACTTAACTTCATATTACATCAGTAGGATAATACAATAACATGATGATAATCACAATGCATCTTCTTATTATCTATAATAACCTATCTAAAGAAAGAAAAGTATCATATATTGACCCAAAAAAAACACAAAAAAAAATACTACATAGCAAAATTGATATAAAAACACCTACCTTCTTAGTAGCCGAAGCATCCCACACCTGAACATAGGAATTAGTCAAGCCAACAGCAAGTTGTCTTCCATCCGGTGCCCACCTGACACTCGTCACAGGCCCAATCTCCTCAGCAATGGAAACAAGTTCAGAAGTAGAGCCATCAGCGGCATGCCACAAATATACTGAATTCCCAAGAGCGATAGCAACAATGTTGCTGCTACCCCAATCCAGTAAATTCAGGTAGAAGTCATCTACGAGCTCAGGAGCATCAAGAATCCTTTCTGAAGACTGTTATAATTATCAAACAAGACACATCATAAGAAAATAACCAATCCAGAAGAAGTAATAAAAAAAAATGCAAAAAACAAAAGGGGAAACAAAAGACTATAGATGTTCAGTCACAGGGAAAAAGCTCATTGATGGGGGGAAAAAGAAAAGAAAGAGAGAATGAAAACTCACTTGGGGAATATGTCTCCTAGACTTGGTTGGTTTATATTGGTGAACAGATGAGTACAGATCTTGAAAACCATCTACTGAAGGCGGCGGCTTGTTCTTAAAAGCAAGTATCCTTGTTCTGTTCATGTTGAAGATCTCTGCAAGTAGCTTCCTGTAAGCTTGTTTGGATGGAGAGCACTGTTCAGTGTTTGCAACCTTCCCACCATTCAACATGTAATGTGCAAAGTCAAAATCCATTGCAGACCGGTTGGGGATGAACCTATCAAACTGCCACTTCATATATAAACAAAATTCAGTACGAAGCTGAAGGAGAATCTAATAAACGAGCCACGATTCACATAAACAATTTGGAATTACTAAATCAGATATAGAAATCAAAATTCAGAGGCAAAGAAAAGCTTGTCTACTCAACAAGAAAAGGTAGATGAATGGATTTTTCATTTGAAATCTAATAATTTCATCATGTGGAACCTCAACCCAACTAAACCATATAAACTTATTTGATTTTGTGATCCATAATCTGAAAACCTCAACCCATAAGACATAATATATTTTTCCATCTCTTTTCCTTGCTTTCTATAGCAACCAAACAAAAAGGACAAGCAAAAACAAAAAAAGAAACAAATGCGTACCATCAAATATCCATAATCTGATAACTTTCTCAACATAAATAGAAAGAACTACTAAGATCCAACAATTTTACTTATAATTCAAATTAAAAAACCAAAAAATAGACATTAAATGTGTTTCTCTAGATTACTAAACAGGAAACTCGACCTATACAAATCTATAGGGACATGGATTAATGTGTAATGTATAACTTGAGGAATCAAAAGAAATTTGGGGACAGAAACCCTAAATTACAGATCAAAGAAATACCAACAAATTATATGAAAGAACCCGTAAATTTTCCAGAAAAACAGAAACCTAGAATTAAAGAAAAAAAAAAAAGAAAAAGAAACAAACGGGTACTATCAAATATCCATAATCTGAAAACTTTCTCACCATAAATAGAAAGAACTACTAAGATCCAACAATTTTACTTATAATTCAACTTAAAAACACCAAAAAATAGACATTAAATGTGTTTCTCTAGATTACTAAACAGGAAACTCGACCTATACAAATCGATAGGGACATGGATTAATGTGTAATGTATCATTTGAGGAATCAAAAGAAATTTGGGGACAGAAACCATAAATTGCAGATCAAAGAAATACCAACAAATTATATGAAAGAACCCGTAAATTTTCCATAAAAACAGAAACCTAGAATTGAAGAAAATAAATATGAAAATAAAAAAGAGTACAAACAGATAACGCCCTGTATCACAATTCAGGAATGAACGTTGCAAGGAAGAATAAGAAATACAAGAACAAAAAATTCAATGATTTTACCTCTTCACGAAAACGTTTCCTGGAACCTCTTTGATCGGACTCACGAAATCTCCACATGTTGATGAATCAGTTCACCGGCGGCAAGGAATGTGTAAGAAATGTTTAGGGTGTTAAAAGACTAAATTACCCTATGTTATACCACTTTATTTAAAAAAGTAAAAATTAATATTTTATAAATTACAAAATTATCCTCAGGTATTAAATTACATTAGGTATTAATATTATAATTTAGTTCAACTCAATTTATAAATATTAGGTATTAAATTATAATTTAGTTCATTTAATTTAAATAAAAAAATCTTTTGTAGAATTCACAATTTTGTAAATAAAAAACTAAATAAGTCATTAAAATATTATTATTTATTTTATATTTTTAAAAAATTAAATTATTTTTATCTTATAATTTGTCATAATTACAAGACCTCCTATTTGATTTGAGAATTTACTCATACTTCCCTTAAGAATGAAAATATTCTTAAAGGACCTCTTTTTTGTTAAAGTCAACTTTAGTCAATGACGAAAATTACTGACATTATGTATAAATTTTACAAAATCTCCACAATACCCTTTTCCCTATATAATTATATATTATAAGTAAAAGAAATATATATATATATATATATATATATATATATATATACACACACACACATACATATACACACACTTCATATTTTATACACACACTAAACCCATTTCATGAACCTGGCCATGAAAAATAGCCTAGCCAATCATTGATCTCAATGATCTGCAAGAGAATATTGGGTCCCGAAATTGGTTTAATCTGTGTGATTTGGTTTTTATTTTGGAAATCAAAATTGAGAGTAAAAATATTGATAAATATTCAAGGTTTAATCAAGGAAGATTTTGTACCATTTTCAAACTGTTTAAAATATCTTGATGTTTAATCAAGAAAATTAAAATTCTGTCTCTCTTTAATTTCCAGAATTCCATCATGCCGTTTGTTTACCCAAAAAATTTAGCTTTACTTATAGGTAGTACCAAGAATTTCAATTTTCTTCTTTTTTCCAACAGTTTCTCAGAAACCAAATACATGTAAGTATTAAAATATATATATATATCTAGAGAGAGAGAGAGAGAGAGAGAGTACCGTTTCTAAAGCGACAGCTGAGGTTGCACGAATTCTGGACGAAAACCCACGAGAGGAGAATTGGAGAGAGGGTTTAAGCTGAGAATTGTGAGAAAGAGAAGGGTATTTGGGGAAAAGGTCGTGGCAAAGTTGGCGAAGCGAAGACGAAGAAGCAATCACCATATTTGAATAATTTTACTCTATGATGATGAAGAATTGCGGTTTCTATTTGTCAACCCCTCTTATTTCTGTGTACTTCCTGCAGTTATACATATACAAACACACATATATATGCATTTTTGACAAGGAGATGAAAAGGAAAGAAAATATTTATCAAGATATATTGCTCTCAATTTTGATTTCAAGATAGTAGAGGTAAATTTAATGTATATCAAGGAAGAAGTGCAGAGATGTTGGTGCCGGTGGCCGCGGTGGCGCCCATGGTGGTTGGTGGTGGTGGCCTCAAATAGTTTAAGATTTAATTTTTTTTTTTTTTTTTTTTTTGTGTTTTTTTGTTTCTCTCTCTCTCTCTCTCTCTCTCTCTATATATATATATATATAAATATAAATATATAAATATATATAAGGTACTTCAATAATGTACAATAAAAATTTAAGGGCATTTCGGTAAATTAGTCAGGCCTGTTAGTGTAATTGACGGTCCGTCACACATAAGGGAAGTCCGTGTAGAATAGTTTCATTATTAGGGGAGGTTTAAGTAAATTCTTAAACCATAGGGGAGGTCCGTGTAATTATGGCAAGAGTTTGTGTAAATTATCCTAAAAAAATTGAGGCTGGCAGATTACTTGGCAGCACTTTATGCCATTCACATGGGCCACTAGTTCCCAGTGCTTGCTGTTATTTGGGGGTTCATATTCAAGCTATATGAGGACTACATCTCCAAGGCTAACCCCAAGTGGCCCAAGTATCTCCCATTCTCCCATCTTATCACACAGATTCTTAAAGATCATCGCTATCCTATCGAACTAGATAAGGAGATGGAAGACGGGTCTTGCCACTACAAGTGAAAGGACTGGAACAAGAGCTTCAATGCTCTGAAGAAGACAGCCCTTGCTGAGGCCGGTCCAGCACATCCAGCTCCTATCCCAGCTCATGCCCCTCCCCAGCCCGCCACAGCAGCACCTTCACTTCCAACTCCATTTCCCGATGCCCAGCATAAGCAGTAGTTTGATGTGGACTCGCCGATGCTTGCACAAGATGACTCGACCCTGGGGCTCTATTCGTTATGTCACAGGATCACTACCAATCCCTCTGGGATGACACGCGGGACATGAGGGAGGACTAGGCCACATTTGCAGGCAGATATGACCAGTCTCCGAGTAGAGGTGCGTGACGATTTTGCAGCTTTGGGTGCAGAGCTGCGGTCGATGATATCAGACTTGATGCGTTAGATCTGGAGTTCTAACTCCTCTCAACCATCTTCTTCTGCGCCATACCCATGATCTTTCCATTTTTCTATCTCTCTTTATAAATATCTGTGGATGATACATTATTCATTTTTGCGGCTAGTTTGTTGGCCTTATATTTTGTGATGTACCTTGACTGTTATTTTTTATTCTTGGTTATTTTGTGCTTTTTTATAAATAGATGTTGTTGATCCAAGTATCAAGTACATTGCTGTTGTGGCCCATTTGAGAGATCTCTTTCTCTCTTACTCAAGACCTTCTCTATCTTTATCTTTTTCGCATATGCCATTTGCATGCACATTGCACACATACCCTATAATATTTGTAATTTTGATGAGGCTTATACCAATTTGATCTTTTCAGGACCATAGTTGATTCCAAGTTTGGGGGTACTTCTACCCATTTTGGATCCTTGCGTTCCTGTTTCTTCTCCATCATTGCTACACTGGTGTACTCTTTCCATTTTTTTCCATTATTCTCATTGTATATTGAAGACAATGTGGGTTTAAGTTTAGGGGTAAGGTGACTTCTAGCATTCATTTCAAACTATACATATCATGTGTGCATGTGAGATTTGAGATCCATTTTTATTCCATAAATGGCTATGGTTTTAATCTTTTGAAGCATAGTTGCCTTGGAATGACAAGTTTTGAGAGTCTAATACTTCTTGTTTGCTTTTGGATGCCACTTAGGGGTAAATTTTAATTTTTTGATATCATGTTTGCTTTAGTGGTCTATATCATCTTGCTTGTTGAAAATACTTTGATAATTGATTCTAAAGTACTACATTTGCACAGGCACACTAGCATTCGATTTGTGGGGTACATACTTAGACTATCATTGTTTTGGTTATATCTCATTTGAACTAGTAGGCTTTGAAAAGTTCTCATTCTTAACAAAATGACCTTGCATGCTAAATAACAAACCCTTGTTCACTGAGTAATCGGGATTCTTGTCTCATTAAGCATTGGATTCTCGCATCAAAATGTGAAGGGCTAAATTGAAATAAGAACTTTTTCACCAAGTAACCGGGATTCTTGCCTCATTAAGCATTGAATTCACGCGCCAAAAAGTGAAAAGTTGGGAAATGAAAAGAGAGAGTTGTTTTAATTTGTAACTTAGTTGATTTGAGCTATTAAAGTCCTTAGGGGTGTTTTCACACCTAATGCCCTAAAGCCGTCCGATTTGGAGCCATTGACCCAACGCTCGTTACACAAATCTTTAAAAAGCTTTAGAGATCTTTATATTGGACCATACTCTTATCTTCGATCCTATTAAAAACTTGCATTAAATTAAAAAATTAATTAATTAATTTTTTTTTTTTTGAATAAAAGGTTCATTCATCGTCTTGATGATTATTATTTGAGATGTGTGCTAGTTTAAGGCCGGTTTGTGATCTTTACATTGATTTTGCTAAGATAGCAACATAGTTTGATGCTGGTTCACTAAAAAAGGATGATAGAATTGATTTCGATTTACATGATTGACTTGCTTGATACTGAGATATCGAGAATAACTTAAAAATGGCTGAAAATTGCACACTTGAGGTAGTCTTCTTTCGATACTTGTTCGAAATGTGTTTAATGCTTCTTAAATGAGAACGAGCCTTTGATGTTTATGGGTATCATTTCTAGAAATCCTTACAAGACTTCACTCGTCCTCTACGGGTAACCTAGGGGTTCAAAAGGCTTGTTGCATATGCTAAATGCAACTATGATCCCTACGAAAACGCCGTTATATTCTTATTGCTTTATTTGATTCTAGTTGTATAGTTGTTTCTTTTTATTTTCTTATTTGTGCATTGCTAAGTGACTATTAATATTTAAGTTTGGGGGTGTGATAAGTGCTGAAATATGCACATTTCAATCCTAATCTTGACTATAATAGAACTTTATTCTATCTTTATTTTCCCGTTTTAGTCTTATTTTGTGTTTTTCCCTTTTTCAGGTGCATAAGGTTGAAATGAGCTAACTCTGGTGTTTTAAAGCCTTGGGAAAATCAACCAAAGTCTTACTGAAAAGCTTGAGCAAAAAAGACGCTGAGTTGAAAATTTCCTACTTGTGATCGATCGAACCAAGACCCATGATCGATCTCATCAGATCGATCCAGCCAGAAACCTTGAAGGATCGAAGACTTTGTCATTATCCAAATAAATATCTTCCAACCAACAATAACATAAGTAAAACTAAATCCAAAGTCTGAAAGCATGAAATAGAATCCTACGTAGATAATCAGAAGAGTGATGAAGACAGGTCTTTACTTTGCACGAACAATTTCAACACTTGATGAACACCTGAAAAATATAGTGGGTCAGGCCCACGAACAAGTTCTACTATACTACATCCCAAACAGAGACCTGATAAAATATATACATCCTAGTCAAGTCATACAATAACTACATAGTCCGTATCTATATAAATACACGCTATATGATTTTCACTGAACTATAAGGTGGCCTTAACCGGATAATAGACAATATGCAAAACGCACACATAGTGGGCATGAGTACCATGATCTACCAGGACACATAACTATCCACTATATATAGCTATGCATCCTAGGAAATATACGCTCCCTAACCACTGATCCTGAGTACTCAAGCTCATATCATGGCGCGCGCGCACACACACACACATATAAATCCATCTCCTATCCATAATATAAAATAACTATCTGCCATAGTCTTTCAATGGCATGTCATCCACATGGTTTCGTAACCTAACACGAATAGATGTGACTTAACTTATTAGCTAGTTCATCTGATAATATGCCCC